TACACTTATTTTTATATATATATATATATATATATATATATATATATATATATATATATATATATATATATATATATATATATATATATCACTTAACTCAAACTCAAATACTGTTTTACCAAAAATTGATATCTAAAATAAAGTACAAGAAGTACCATTTATCAGTTTTTGTAAGCATGCTTCGATCTACATTCTCAAACCTTTTGCCTTTGTCCCTCCACACAGGAGTGTGCAGTGGACTTTGAGCGTTCAAAGCACTGTCTGTGCTTCGCGGCCCTCTGACAGAGTCCAGGTGTTGGTATAAAACATCCGAGCTGAGACGGAGACATCAGTCTCGACTGAGAACTCACCAACCCGGGAGGAGAGAGCTGCAACGAGCCCGCCATGGGGGTCTCTAAGCTCTGCCTTTTGCTGCTCCTCAGTATATCAGCCTTGGCTCGTGAGTACCTTGCAACACATCTAACATCACAGGTCTATGTTTAAATGCGCTCATATTTAAACAGTAAAGCACTTTAACTTGAATTGCAACTATTGAATGAGTTTTTAAATGTTAGCCCAGTGTTACTATAAACTTATGTTCAAAACATTATTTTGCAGATCGCAAGTCTTTCAGTCAAGTCTAAAGTCAAGTTCAAAGTCAAATCTTTGATTTCTAAGTTTTAAGTGGCTAAATGTAATTTAAATATATAATTTACATACATTAATACTTTCAAAATATAAATAATTTTGAAAGCATGCTGCCTATTTATTTTCTAGAATAGGCAGCATGTGCAACTGATCAAAAACAATCAGTGTGATTGCATTTCATAGTAACTATGAATATTTATTTATTTGGAGCCTTTAGCTAAAAGTACATTTTCTGTAATATTGTTTTAATCTAAAGTGATGTTTCCTTAATCTAAAATAAATAAAAATAACAACAAATAGTTTCTTTTTACAATTTTACAAATGGTAATTTTAAAACCATTTTACTTTTTCTTCTTTTTTTTTTTTACCATTTTTTAAAAACTAAAATTTTTATTGAGTCAATCTTTTGTACACGGTTTAATTTTTTTATGAAGTCGACCATAGATAGCATTGCTGCTTGTGTTGCACAAACTGATCCTTGAACTTAGACTTTTCATCTCCAAAATATCTCTGCTCCTTTACTCACTTGCTGACCAACTCAGTTTTATTATTTAATCTCAATTAACCTTCACTTCAGCCAAAATTCAGCACCTTTCGCCAAACATTGACCTAGTGTCTCGTGTCAATGTTTTCCTTTTTTGTATTGGTCTGAGGAAGAACCCTTATGAATGGCTAAATTAAAACTCCCTGAAAAATGTGTATCCTTGCCTAGGATGAAAATAACTTGATATCTGATGACAGATTTGATATACAGTAAAGCTGGATATTAGTTATATTAAATGGTTTACAGTATTTGTGATATAGTCTAATTATTTATAAAAGAAATTCTGCTTAAGGCCACAAAAACACCAAATCAATTTGAGGCTTAAACTGTTCAACAACTGAAGGCGTCACTTTGGACCAGAGGAACTGTGATGACGTCTTTCTGTATTTGCTGACTTTTTGAACACAGACAACCAGTAAATTAATAAAGACTTAAGCATAATCATTTATAACTGGACTAGTACAAGCCATGTATACATCATTATTTTGTTACCCTTCGGGGAAATATTATCAAAAAAAAAAAAAATGCTAACTAATCTGATTTTCCATTAACAGTTGCCCAAGACGAAATATTTTCAACCTGTTTGTGTAAGTTGCTTCTGGCATTTTGTTCCTTTAGAATGTTCAAACATGCATGATACAGGATCAAGATGCTTCACATCTTTATTTGATCTCCTCTAGTGGCCCAAAGGTACAAGCCCCTGCACAAATATGAATACCAATATGAAGCTGAATCTTTGAATGCCATCAGTGGAGCCTCAGAGCTCAAGAATGGACCCAAGGCCTCCTGCAAGGTAGCATTGTTTAATAATCATCAGATTTCTTTTTATTTCTTCTTTCCTGTTCATTTTGTATAAGACAGAATAAAAAGCTTTTGATTTTTTTACACAGGTTGAGATCGAAGTTCCACAGATGTGCAGTTTCATCTTACGCACCACAGGCTGCAGTCTGAGCGAGGTGGTGGACACGGACGCAAATGGCAACCCCGTGTTCCTTCCAGCCGCCAGCTCTGACGGCTTTGCCGCCGAAATGGAACGGTAAGATAATGGATGTTAAAAGGAAGAAATGAAAAACTTCTGAAGAAGAATTGATTAATAAATAAATAAATAAATAAAAACATTACACATTTTCTTTCAGGCATCCTCTGAAGTTTGTTGTTGAGGGCGAGTATGACGTGAAGCTCTTCCCTGCGGATGGCGAAACAACAAATATTCTGAACTTCAAGAGAGGCATCGTCTCCGCCCTGGCTGTGCCTCTGCTGGAGGAAGAGAAGAACCACAACATGGTAGTGGGATTTATTAAGAAAAATGCTTAATGGCTAAACTTAATGGCACTACTGGAAAAATGTGCAAAAGCCTTAAAATAAAAAATAAATAAATAAATAAATAAATAAAAATGCACTTTTTTTTTTCCAGGAAATCCTCTGTGCCAACATTGCTGGCTCCCCTGCAGCAACTTCCTTTTAGAGATTTGTTTTTAAATATTTCCTTCAGATTCATAACTTTACAGAACTGGACGTTGCTGCAGCTGTGATCTTGTTAATATAACTATTTATTAAAGTTCACGTTTTTACTTATTTTAAAGGCTTTTCACAAAGCTTTACCGAATCTGCCATTAAGCACGGGGAGCTCTTTAAATGAATGTTTCCAATTTCCATCATGCATTTATCTTCTCTAATTCTCCATCTTTATGTTAGCCCACCATCCATGGCAAGTGCACGACTTCCTACACGAGCAACGCCAGAGAGGACATTGACACTGACATCAGCCTGCACAGGGACCTGTCCACATGTGACAAGTTTGTGCCCATAAAAGATCACAGCAGCCCTCTGGCCCTCCTTACTGGCATGGTAAGACTCCCTAAAGTCACTGCAAGGAGATCACAGGAAATACTTTTGCACAAATAATCTGTGAAAAAATAAAACATTTTATTCTGGACAGATTCAATCTTATTCATGTTTTTTTATGTTGAATCTGTGCTTAATATGAAATTTAGCAATGCAATTTATAAATCTTTGATAGGAGACGACACAAACATTTCGCCTGTGTCTTTTTAATACGTTACTAACTTCACATTGTCCTAATTTGTAGCACTATCCGTTGGCTCAGCTGGTCAGAAGCTCCCAAACATGCAACTACAAATTTGATAATGAGAAAAAACACATGACCTCCGGCTCCTGCACCGAAGAACACCTCGTTATACCTTTCTCCCACAAGTAAATCAAATCCTTCAGGAGTGTCATCACTTATTGAACAAAGATTCATGATTAGATTTCTGTTCATTTATATTTATATGTTTTTTTTTTTTTTTTACAGGGGAAAATATGGATTTACCAATGTTGGAAAGCAGGAGTTGACTCTGGTCCAGGTTTCTTCTCACAATGACAACGTGTTTGAACGGGGTAAGTCCTTTGTTAAAGGTCGCTTTTCAGAAATCATTAAAAATTTCCAGTCAGAATGTTGTAATTTAGTGACCATGGTAATTTAATTATTATCATATATAAATAGTAAATAGAAATCATACAGGTAAACGGTAAGAATGGTGTCAAAAATCTACAGAAAATGAAGTTATGTTAGCATATTTGTGATTACTTATATGCATAAACTACCAGCATAAATAAATAAACAAAGGATAAATGCTTGGTCTATTGAAGGGTAGGGTGGGGGTACGCTAGAATGAATTGACCATTTGAATCTATGAAATAGTAGCATGATGTGACTGGCAGCCATTTGTTAGCTGTTTGTTTCAATTTCACAAAAAACAAATACAACATCCAACCAGGAGAGACTCTACATACTAGTTTTTAAATGTTTTGTAAAGATGTTTTAGGGGTATGTTTTTGAACTAGAACTTCGTCCAACCAAAATGTGACTTAAAAAAATCTGTTGTTCAGTTGAAGTAAACTGTGGTGCTTTTTATGAAAATCATGCAGTTGGCAGGAAAGGTTGTGAAAATGCCTTCATGCAGATTTACTTAAAAAAGACAATTACCATGAGTAAATACAAAATGGAGCTTTTCTATGATGAATGAAGTGTCATTAAACACATTATTTGAAATACTGAGTTCAGTCTTACTTGGTTTTCACTACTACTGGACTTATAGATCAAGAAAGTCAGTCTGACAATATGAAGGTCGAAAAGTCTCAAAAGACAGAACATCATATTTTGATATAAAGGAAACAAGTCAGTAACATCGATCAGTCTGGAAAAGGTTCCAGATCCTTTGGACTCCAGAGAACTGCAGTGAGTTTCATTATCCACAAATGGAAATAATATTGTAACAGTGACTTTCCCAGTGGAGGCTGGTCCACTAAAATTACTCCAAAAGTTCTTTGAGGATTCATTCAGCATGTCAACCAAGAAGCCTGAACAACATCTATAAAACATATTAGATTTATACAACAAGACACAAAATAGAACAATGTGAGTGGAATGATTACTAAGTAAAAAAAAAAACAAGAAAGAAAGACAAACGTGTGGAAATTTAACTTTGACATATAGAGTCAATGTCAAATTTATTTATATAGCACTTTAAAAGCAGGTTTAAAACTGCGCCAAAGTGCTGTACAAAAGTGATAAAAGTCAAGTGGGTTTGACATGAAAGCATTATTTTGTATTCACTCTGGCTATATTTTGGTCTTGTTGATATTATTCTGATGATATGAATGTCCTTAAGTGTGAAAGACTCTGAACGTTAAGAAGAAAATATATTTTTATTTCATGTAACATTTTGAATAATACTTAATGTAGAAAGTTTTGAGGATGTTATTAAACATTTCAAACGATCTTTATGGAAACTGCATTGCGGTTTGCAGATTGTAAGAATTAATACAGATGTCTACTTGTTTTATATTAAGACAACAACGTCAAGGATCTCAACATGGAGATTGTCGAGGACAAGAGCAGCATCCAGGATGAAGATGCGGCTGTGAATCTCATGAGACAACTGGTCAATTTGCCCGAGACCGAAGGAGAGAGGAGGGCACACCTCTTCCACACCCTCATCTCCACAGTCCGTGGAATGAAGACTGAAACCCTGAAGGCTGCCCTTCCCGAGGCCGTCGCCTTGTCCCGCTTCCTGACCTACCAGGTTCTGGCCCAGTGTGGAACCCCCGAGTGCAGTAGTGCAATCATGCATATCCTCAGGACTTTCGACACCTCGGACCTCGAGGTCGACACTGCTGTTTTCGCGTTGGGACTCATGTCCAATCCATCTGCGCTGCTGATCAATGATTTGCTCGAGATGGCCAAATACAAACCTAGTAAGCCCATCATGTATGCTCTGAGCAATGTTGTCAAACGGTAGGTGATCATTTCTTTGTTTTGTGTAAAATTAATCAGAAATAATGCCATTCTACCATGTGTACGATTTTGCTCTTCTGCATTTATCATTGTGTCTTTTCTACAGATTTTACAAAGTTGAGAAAAAAACTATTCCAGAGATCCACTCTGTTGCCGAGTTCATGGCTTCCCAGCTGGGCGACTGTACTGGGGCGAAGGACCACACATTCATGACACTCAGGGCAAGTATCACAGCTGCTACCTCAAAATACAAACAAAAAGTCCAGAATGTACTGAATGTGTAATGAAAGTAACATGTGGCAGGGGGTATATTTTTATATAAAATCTATTAATTTGAAGTCTACACAAACCATTATCTTTGCAACAATAACGCTAAAAGATGCATCTTACGCAATACCTTGGCTATTAGAAAATTTTTCATAAACCATCAGTTATATTATTAGGACAAAACCGTTAATTAGCACTGACTGGTAGCAGGATTGCTTTCCAAACGCTGACAAATTTTAGGTGTTTTTGGCTTTTTGCATCTTCTCTCCATGCACTCAATACATCCTTCATGTGTCATTGTACTTACACATACATTTATATTGGTATTGGTGCAGATTTTCTATGTGTGGATTACTTCTGTAGTTACTGACAAACAGTATGAATTTACATTAGTAAGAGTCATTTGAAATATATTTATTGAGAAAAATGCTGAGGTATGTTGAGGAAAATGAATATTCTTAGTGTTTACTAATTTCCTAAGTTTAAATCTGCATTGCATACATTTTGGGCATAAAAGTCTGAGCTGTCAAACTTTTCAGCGCTTCTTCATCTGAATGTGTTTTAAGAATCTCCAAAGTGAGGTAATCCCAACTGAAAATTGGCTTGAATTTGTTTTCAGGTGATTGGAAATATGGCTCCAGCTGTGATTCCTGTTAGTCCTGCACTACGGACTGCTGTGATCCAGTGTGTGAAGGAGCCTGCAGCCTCCCAAATAGTGCAGCAGGCTGCTATTCAAGTATACAGGCAGATTCCAGTCCCAGATGAGGCAAGCAAAACAACTCTAGCCAGTATTTTTATTTTGTTTGTCAGTATTTCTTTACTAATCTTACTTTTTCACTGACGTCTGTCGATTGCAGACAAGGGACGTGTTTATGCAGGTGCTTTTGGACAACAGCAACCCTGTCCAAGAACGCATTGCTGCATATCTTATAATTATGAAGGGCCCACAGCCAAGTGAGCTCACGCAGCTGATCAATGCTTTGTCCAGTGAGGCTAACCAACAATTCAGGAGCTTTGTAATCTCCCACATCACCAACATTCAGTCCTCGACTGAACCAGAAACCGAAGAGTAAGATCGAGCAATGCCACAGAATAAAATGCCGGCACATTTATTGTTATTCTTTTAGTAGAGTGTGTTGTCTTCCTACAGCCTGAGGCGGAAGATCCAGGATGCCCTGCAAGGCAATGAAATCGGACCCACAATGGACCCAATCAAGTTTTCACGCAACTATAAGATTGGATCAGTGCAGGGCAACATGATTTTTGAGGGTGTCAGCTACTTGCCGAAGGAAGTTATGCTTGAAATGACTCTGAGGGCTTTCGGCTTTGAGATTGACATGATGGAGGTAAACACTTTAAACTATTTGACATCTTTTGTGCCCTAAGGACTTTTGCTAATCTAAAACAGTTTCTTTGGAATAAAAAAATCTCATTCTTTGCAGATTGGTATGACAGGTGAAGGATTTGAACCAACAATTGAGGCCCTGTTTGGAGAGAACGGTTTTTTCCCCGATACTGCCCTGAAGACAATGTACTTTGTCTCTGAAAACATGCCACAAGCAGTCAACGAGATCCTGGAGAATGCCATACCTGCATTGAAGAGGAACAGGATGAAGAGGGAGGTACTTCAAGCAGCATTCAATACTCATATATATTCATCTCATGTTTTTTGGGGAGGTCAGGTGGTTGGAGAGCAGGCAATTTTAGGACATTTTGCACATTTTCATGTAGACCTCCAACAACCTGGTGAACGAGGTCAGACAAAACCTCGGGAAGCTGGTCAATGATCTGAAGACTGCACAGTCTCCGGAAGCAATGGTTTATCTGAAACTCTTGGGAAATGAGCTGGGATATCTCAGGACTAACGACATCGAGGAGATGACCTACTCTGCCGGCATGCTGATTGACAAGATGCTCAAGATGTTCCCACATGAAGTGAGTTCAAAAAAAGCAGAACCTAGCAGTTCTTGTTGAAAGTTAAGTTTTTGTTTAAAAAATCCATAATTTATTTGCTTAACGTGCTTTGTGGACTTTTTTGGCACAGATACTAAGATCCCTGATGACTAGCCCTGACAACACAATCTTTGCCCACTACATCTTCATGGACAATGAATTCTTCCTTCCAACTGTTACTGGAGTACCTCTACGGATTGCACTGTCTGGTACTTTCACCCCAGGCTTCAAAGGCGGACTTCAGATTGCTCGCGACATGGTGATTATCTATGGCTACGGTAACAGGATGCTTATAACTTTTTCACAGCATCAACTCGAGTCTTGCTGCATCGATCTTTCTACTGTGTTTACCTACAGAGCACAGCGACTTTCATGCCATTTGGTGGCATTGAGTTTGTCACTCAGGTTGGATCCCACATCCCTGAATATGTCAATTCTGGACTAGAAATGCACACTAACATCTTCCACGAGAGTGGGATGAGAGCCAAGGTCTCAGTGGGACGTGACCACGTTAAGCTGACTATCCCAGCCCCAACAAACCCCGCCAAGCTAATCCAAATAACGTAAGCTATACAAAAAAATAACAAATAAAAATGCTCAAACATTTTTTTTTTAAGTTTTAAGTTCAAGTTTTAAGCTTTCAGGCATACTTAAATTCTTGCTACTTTTGCAATTTAGAAACTCCTTTGTGGCAGTAATCGGATCAGACGTGAAAATGTTACCTCCGGTGGTGAAAGACAAAGTTGAATTAAATAAGTGCACACCTGCCTTCATTGGCATGAAATACTGCTCTGCTCTGCAGTATGCTGATGCATTCTCTCATGAGACTGCACCCTACTTCCCCCTGACCGGTGACAGCAAGTAAGTTTGAAATTCCTTTCCTACAGTAATGTCAAAAATAGCATGTGATTAGCTAACAGGTTCTGTCAACTGAACAACACAGATTTGTTGTGGAGCTCCATCCCACGGGAGAAGTTACGGAGTACACAGCCACTGTTAGATACGAGCTCCTCAAGGAGGGAGACGAGGGCCGGCAGAAGGTTGACGTTTTGAAGTTTATCTTGAGAGCTGAAGGTAGGGATCAGTATAAATGTTGCTTTAATTGGATAAATCAAGAAGGACTAAGGCGCCATTGCATGATCAACAACAGGAGCAGCGCCAACTGAAGCCCAACTGGAGATGAAATACAACAGAGAAACAAATATCATCACAGCAGACATTCAGATCCCTGACTTTGATGTGGAGGCTGGAATCAGGCTCGGCGTCGTTGATGGGAACGCTCAAGTCAAAGGAACTCATTCCATCTTTCTTGATCTCATCAACAAGAACGTTCCTCAGGTTTCCCTGATTGCACGTGCTAAGTAAGAAATGCAACATGAATACATAAAATAACAATAACGGGGCCCTAGATTGACTGGCTGATAACATTTTTCAGTTTGAAGGAAAAAAAGGAAGGCATGCTGCAAGTCCAGCTCCTGGTGCCCTCTATCAGCGCTGAATCCACCGTCACTGCTAGTTTGAAACATGATGATCCACTGGAACTGGAGCTTGAGAATGAAATTAAGGTCATGGATGTTTCCTCTGAGCAGAAAATTAAATTGAAATACGGTAATCCCATTTCACTGTCATCTCTTTTTCTTATGTGTAAGAAAGTTTGACTGCAACTAATTCTACTTTGGTGGTTGTCTAATTGGAAATAAATTGCCAGCAACTACTAATTTGTGACAGAATGCACCAAACATTTGATTAATTGAACTAGTCACCAAAATCTCTTTGAACGTACCTCCCTTTTCCAAACTCCTTTTAAAACTGAATCATTAATAAATTACAGATCCTTTTAAGGACATAATGCAGGTATTGAATTACGTTTTCAGATGGCAGCAAGATTGAGCTGGAGTTCAAGTCTGATGTGGATACAAAAACCACCTCCTTGCCTACCGGTGACATCATCCAGCAGTATGGCAACGAGATTCTTGACATGCAAGTGGCACAGACCGACATGAAAGTTCGTCATATCTTCAGAAAGTTTGTGGAGGTATGCATCCTTCATCAGAATTTATTTGTCAGAGATGTGAACGAAGCCAAAACAACAACAATAAAAACATGCCTCTGATTTCTTTAGGCAGCAAACAACTACATGGAAAAGTATGGTGCTGAAATGCTCCCTTACATGCAAAACTTCAGATTGCCCGACATACCAGATATTTCTTTGCCAGAGAAACTCTTCCTGAATACGTAAGATTAGTAAATCAAAGCTAATTTTAATAGTACATGTTTATATAATCAAAAACATTTATATATGGGACTTGCTTCGTTTTTTTTTTTAACAGTGACGCAAAGGCTATCTTCTACTTCAACGATGATCGCTTCACATTTGTAATCCCGCTGCCTCTAGGAGGAAAGACACCAGCAGACCTAAATTTCCCACCAGCTCTAACCATTCCTAGGCTGTCTATACCCCAGTTTGGATTGGAAATTCCTGCCAGAAAAATCCCGATACCCGACTTTGCTGTTCCAGACAGCTTCGCTGTGTCTGTTCCTGTCTTTAGCAAAGTTGAACTTTCAACTTTGATAAACAGCAATCTCTATGATGTGGAGGCAACACTTGCAGCTGGAAAGGACGTTGTAGAACCACCTAGTTATTCTGCAAGGTTTGATGCAAAAGGAACTTCCCCGATTGACATCCTCTCTGTAGCAGTTGAAGGTATGTTAATAATCATTTCCGTCATCCTTCATTCAGTGAAGAGATACTTTGGTCTCTTTTGTCAAAATATTTGACAAAAGTTAAGTTAGTTTTTTACTACAACTATTGCTACAGTTATGAAATCATTTGGCCACTTTGCATAAGATTATTTGTTCCCCTCGGTGTCACCAATATGTCAGTATTTAAGCTGCCAATAACTAAACAGCCTCAGTTTAGAAAACTAATAGAGGTTTCCCAGAAAACTATTTTTAAAGTTTTTGAAGTGTCTTGCCTTGAGATATTTGTAGAAGTAAAATGTAAGTTTTTTTTAATATAAACATGCTTAAGGTTATGAGCTGGTTCTGATCAGGTTACTTGGCCTGGCCAGTTGCTGACATCTTTTTGGGAAAGCAGAGACACTATGCTATACATTTCATGGGAACATTTTTAGAAATTTAATTTGCTTGGTTGTACATAATTATTAGGGCATTATAATTAGTAGGTCATCTTGCTATTCTTCACATATGTTTTTTTTTTTCCTATTTTCTTTTATGTTTAGGTTCTGGGATGGTGTCTATAACCGAATCCATCAAGGCTCATTTGAGAAGCTCTTTTACCCATAAATTATTCGAAGCTAGTTTCAGTACTGAAGAAGATGGAGTTATCGCAGACAAATTCACTTTGAAATCAAACACCAAAATCAAAGCCACAAGTCAATTTGGCATTTATGCAAAACTACAGCACACTAGCATGACTGAAATCAGCACTCAAGAAGTTCAAATCAACAACAACTTTGAGGGATCGTTCAAGGCTGGACCAATTTATGGCACAACCACTTCAGTCCAGGCAATTTCTGTGTTCCCATTCAGGTCAGAGGCCAAGATTGATTCTGAAATCCAACTTGATTCAACCATTTTTAAAGCTGAGAACCAAATTTCAGGGTCCCTTAGCAATGGTGAATTTTTGGCTAAATCAAACACCAAAGCCCAGGAGGACGTCTTCACACATGTCACAGAAATTTCTTTCAAAGAGAGTCGGCTGACGATGAAATGTGACGCAAGCGCACATGCTCTTGGTCTCAAGATTAGCAACCAGGCTGAAGGCTCTGCTGGTGCTGGTAGAGCCACTATAAGAATAGAGACGAATGGAGACTACTCTGATAATCGCGTTTACTCCATACTTATGTCCACCTTCGATGACAATGGTCTGATAGTAAGCTGCAATGCCAACATAAAGCTTTTTGAGAATGAAGTTACACATGAGGCCAGACTGAAAATGAACAAAGATGGTTTAAGCACAAGTGGAACAACTACTCTCCAAAGCCCACTCTCTTTAGAAAACACCTTCAATGCTGGAATCGATGCTTCAAGAGGAACTCTGTCCATTACCAACAAAGCTGCAATTCATGATATCAAAGTGGATAATTCTAACACGCTGACCATCACTCTTTCTAGTCTGGACTTCAACTCAAAGGTGGAAGCTGGTGCAAGTGAATATGCCTCTTATAATCACGATATCATCTTTGGCCTGAAGCCTCACACTGCCTCTGCAAAAATTAACAACCACCTGAAACTTTTGGATGCCAGTTTTGATAATGATGCACAGTTACTGGCAGAACTTTACAAGATTGACTTGACTGGAAAACTGACAGCCCTATATGGAATAGACGAAATAAAGCACACATACCAGATTAATTATGCAGATCTAAGTGCAAATGCAAAATACAGCACCACTGGAAAGGTATTTGGCACTCACATGAGCCACAATGCTGAGCTTGAAATTATTGGCCTTGCCGCACGGTTTAGTAACGATGTCCGCTTCAACTCACAGCCTATTCGCTTTGACCACACCATGCGCTGCAATTTTGTTCCTTTTGATTTCAACCTTGATGCCATGTTCAATGGAGACGGAGATATTACCTTCTATAGACAGCACAGTGGCCAACTTTATAGCAAGTCCTCTCTGAGAGCACAACCCCTTGCTTTTGTCAGCTCCCATGAATGCAGAGCATCGGTGACCCAGAAGATAGATAACTGCCTTTCCTTTGAGACCACATATCTTAACAACATATATGCTGTTCTAACACCCCAGGAGCAAAAGACAAGTTTTAAAGTTAAATCTAAAATGAATCAGCATGAATTTAGTGAAGACATAGAGATTTATAATACTCAGGAGAGGGTTGGAATTGAGGTTCAAGGCACAATCCTTACAAACATCATGAACACAGACTCCACAGAGAACCAAGATTTCACCATCTCTGGCTTCCTCAAATATGACAAGAACACACAAAGTCATATTATTCATGTCCCCCTGATTGAAAGTCTGCCTGTCTTCATGGAGAGCATCAAGGAATTAATTGTGGTTGTAGCAGAATCTCTGCAAAATTTCCTCAACAAAAGTGAGGTGAGGGCAAGACTTGAGGCTCTTCCCCAGGAAGTAAGTGAACTTCTTGCTCAAATTAACTTAGAAGACAAAGTGAATCGACTGAAACAGCTTTTCAGTGATTTTAGCCAAAATTTTGCCATCACCAGAGAGAACATGGATGCAGCTTTGACAAGTCTCAGGAAAGCCATTGAGACAGTTTTCATCAATCTCTCATCTTACATCCAAACCTTCGCGGACCTAATCTATCAAAACTTCAGTCAGGAGATAGAAAATGTTCTGGAAGACTTGAATGTGCTCAAAGCTAAAGTTGTTAATGGGATTGAAACAATAAGTGAACTGATACAACAAATTGACCTAGAAACACTTAAAGGCAGCAGTATTGAATTCCTGTCTGATATCGAAGCCCGATTTCAGATCAAAGCTATAGTACAGGCCATCATGACTAAAGTTAAAGATAGACTTGACTGGTTTGACTTCTCACACCTAATGCTGTCATCCACAGACATGAAAGAGGTAATTGATTTCTTTGTTTATCTTATTCCAGTACACATACTGAATAATACAATGGAAGAGATTAAGAGTAAGATTTATAACTTTGACCTTGCTGGCAAAATTAATGTAATTTTTCTTAAGATGAAAGAGTTAGTTGTATATCTTCAAGTTGACCAAAAGGCTCAGGCTGTCTTGGAAAAAGCACAAGACATTATTAAACAACTAAGAATTCAGGAAACCATCCAGGCTGCTGTAAAAATTGTGAAGGATTCAGAAATCTCCAACAGATTTATAGAAATCTTTCAAGCCACTATTGACTACTTAAAAACAACTGAGGTTAGCGATATAATTGAACAGTTCAATATGTATATTGAAACCATGCTCCAAAAGTTAAAGTCCATTAACTACAATGACATTGTGGACAACACTAATCAAATTATTGAAGAGTATAGAAATTACTCAAATGAGATAATCAGGACTCTCAAAATTTCAGAGAAACTTGAGGCGGCACGCAAATTTGCCAATGTAGTGCTATCATCTATTCGAGACTTTATAGAGCATCTGAGAGAAATACAAGTTGCAAAAATAGTTAAGTCTGCAACAGACATCTATGAACATGTCATCAAGACATTTGCTGAATACATAAAAGAGGAAATCAGAAATCCTGACATCAGAGAAGAACTTAACGAGTTTTTGAATGGGATCAATTTCTTATTCGGAATCGGAATAGATATTATTGTACACAACATCATTGATGTTATTAGTAAAATAAATGAGGTGTTGCCTGATATGAAAATTGTTCGTGAGATTTCGCAGATCATTAAAAGTCTTTTGAATGAAGTGAGACGAGCTGAAATCAATGTGCCATCCTTCACCTTCCCTCTCACAGATCTTGTTGTGCCTTCCACAAAACTACAGCTCGGTTATAAGTTTGAGATTCCAGCAGAAATTAACGTGCCCGAGTTTACCATCTTGGGCATGTACACTGTGAAAGCTTTTACTCTTTCATTTGAAGACATCAATCAGAAGATCATTGAACTCATTGATTTCATTGTAAGCATTGAAATCAAAATGCCTGATCCAGATGCTTTCTTTGGAGATCTGACTTTGAATTACCTCCCAACGCTTCCTGAGATCACCTTGCCAGAAATCCCTCTTTTAGAATTCACATTTCCCAGCATTCCGCAAGTAGATACAGAAAAGTTTGCCAAAGCTATGGAGATTCCAGAAATAAAGCTGCCAACAATTCCAAATGGGATTATGCTTCCATGCTTTGGTAAACTTTACGGTGAGATTAGATTCCAATCTCCCATGTACACTATAAAGACATCTGCCGAGTTCCAGAACTCCACTGTGAACAACATGTCACCTTTATTCATTGGCTCCTTTAGTTCTCAGGGCAGATCTCCCACTTCGGACATCCTTAATTATAAGCTTGACAGCAACGCTCGCATCGCAATCCCAAAGATGAAACGTGTTGTCCTTGCAGAAACTATAACATTCAGACACACTTATCTAGGTGTTGAACATCAGGCATCTGTGTCTCTGTATGGTCTTTCAACTCAAGCACAAGCAAAAACCGCAGTTATGGTTGATACTGCACCCTACTCGGCCAACTTGGTTAACACAGCCTTCGTTGCAGTGGCAGGGGGAATGACCTCTAAAGTTGACACAACTTACAATCATGTAGTAAATATACCATTTGCTGATATTTCAAGTAACATTACTGCAAAGCAGAAGTCAGTTGTGCAGCAAGATGGCTTAACACTAAATTTTGAGGTAGAAAGTACAGGAGAAGGGAAAATTAACAGTCATGATTGCAATCACAAGAGCAAGTTTGAGCTTTTGCTCAAACCCAAGACTGTCCACCTAACCTTCACCGGAGACACACAGTCTGAAATCCTAAAAATGAAACAGCTTATTACAGTTGAATCTGGCACGTTTAAATTTAATGTTCAGAATGAGGGAAGGGCACTATTCATCAAGAACAGTGTCCTTGATGCATCAGGTGTTGTCAGTCTTTATGATATGAAGATTGAGATGAAAGCAAAACATGACACCGAACTGTATGGTGCAGATAGTGGAGTGGTCTCTAACACAGCCAATTTCAAAGTCTGCCCTGCTGAAGTTTTCTTTGAAATACAAAACAAAGCAAATGCCAAGGTCAACATTTTCAAATCTCTGAATGCCAAGATAGACCTGCAGAATGACTACTTGGTCAACATAAGACCTGACTTTCAAAAGGTGAATGCAGCCTTCCTGGCTCGCCTCAACCAGTACAAATTGTTCTCCAACTTCACTGCAGACAATACCAGAAATCATGCTGGTGTCTTAATTGAAGTGGATGGTCAGACTGATCTGTCCTTCCTGGAATATCCAATTAGCATTCCTGAACTCGACCTACCCTTTGTGGACTTCCATTCTCCACCTATCGATGATTTGAACTTGTTTGAGAAGACTGGACTCAAAAATATTCTGTCTTCTACTGAGCAGACTTTTAATATGGATGCCAAGATCCTTTACACGAAAAGCACCACTGCCCCAATTATCGATGTGATGGGTCTGATCCAGATACCCTCAATGGGTAGACTGAACTCAGAGTATTCTTTTAAGTCTGCGATTATAAACCTTAATGCTGAGACTTTGCTTTTTGCTGAAGATGATCTTGTGTTCCGCCTAGGAGCTACCACTACATCTGTGTTTGAAGGGCTGAACACAAAACTCAAAGGAACCACCAACCTGAGCCTCAAGAGAGGAATTAAGATAGCTAATTCTCTCTCCCTGGAAAATCTTTACATTAAAGGCACACATGACAGTACCTATAGCATGAACACTGTCTCTGTATCGACATCATCAATTATTGCCCTACCTATACTCAATCTGGAAGCAAGCCAAAATCTGGTTGCAAATCCATATTCCAAACCCAATGCCCAGTCCACTCTAAAGCTAAAGGGTGATTTCAACATTCCCAATATAAACGCTATTGGAAAGGTTGAGGCAGAGCACACTGTGAAAGTAGAAAGAGACGAAGAGTACCTTTCAGTGGAGTCATCCCTTAAGTCAAACATTGACAGCACAGCATTGGAAAACTATCTAGTTTTAGGTGTTCTGGACAATGAGGCTGTTGTGTATCTAAATACAAACACTGTCCGCTCAACTTACAAGTTTATTACTGATGCCAAGCTTAAACATGGCACCACCAAAGTCCTTGGCATAGATGTAAACCAACAGCTGGCTGCCGAAGCCTCAATGGGCCGTCTTTTTGTAGAGCTTACCTATTCAAGCAACAATGGAGCAAACTTGTTAAGTTTCGAAACTGAGGGAAAACACAATGCAAAGGCCATTATTGACTTTGAACCATCATTACTGAAATCTGATATTGAGATTGATATAAAACAGCCAACCAGCCTGGGTGACCTTGCTTACTTTGAAAAGACTGTTGTTGAACTGAACCCATCCAAGCAGAAGATTACTTCAAATGTCAAGTTTGCTAGTCCAGTGTACAACACAAACATGTTCACTGAAGTGGACTGTAGTGCCCCTACCCTCAAGGTCACATTTAGATCCACTGCCACTTCTCCTATTGAGGTTTTGGGATATGACATGGAAGGTGAGTTGATTAAAAAAATTCTAATATACCCATTACCATCCCATAACTTACTACTGACGTCAGAAGTGAATATTTCTAATCCTTCTCCAAGGTTCCACCACTGTAACGTTTGAGAATGACCTCCTGAACATGGTCAGCAATCTTGTCCTGACTAAGTCTAGCCTCAACTTGGATTTAGAATATGTCGCTGTTCAAGCTTTGGGGTAATATTTTACATTTTGACACATTTTAGATTATTGATAATAACATTCAATATAAGTAATAAATATTAAACTGCTTTTCTGTCCTGTTTAAGGAGGAAACACCAAGCTGATGAAAGGTAAATATTCTCTGTAGATATTCATGCTGGTATTTGAGAATTTGTTCATTATTTTCTATTTTATTAAATGCTTGTTTTCTCTGACAGTGCTGCCCAAATTAAGTTGAACCTTGGCATCACCAGTCCTACTTTCACTGATCTGAGGCTGCACTATGCTGTGGAAAGAGACCATATTAACATCTCTGTTTCTACTCCGTCGTCTGGCTTCTTTGGCCTTCAACTTGACTGCAGAGACCCATCCCAAATGAGTGCTAGGTTCTATGGCCGTTCTCCTGTAAGTTTTTTACAAAACAACTTCCATTTTGAGATTTAAAAAAGCTGACTTATTTAACATCCCCTTTCTCCATGCAGATGTCCTCAGAAACTGACTTTGACATCTTGCTGATCGCATCCTCTACGACCAACACCAACATTGTGTACATTAAGGCATCTGAGGATCTGATTGCTCAACTGAAGACAAATCTCCCATCAATTATCTCTTCTGTTGAAGAATTTTCTGACAAATACCGAATCACAAGCAGCATGGAGATGCTCCAGTATTCTGCTACTAACCGTGTCAGCGAAGTCTATAATATCGCAATCAGTTATGATGATCAAATGAGCCAGATATCCATTTTCTTTAAGAACACCACTGAATGATGAGCTGACCGCTCTTCCCGAACTCCTAAAGAAGCTAACTGGCAGCCTTGCTAGTAAGATGGAGGCAACCAATCAGTTCATCCAGGCAAACATGAAAGTGTACTATGACTATTTTCTTGAGAAATTTAGCAATCCTGAAGTGGAATTGCCAAGTGGTGAGGTGATTATTGGAAGGCAGATAATTGAGGTCAAACTAAGTATCAAAAAGATGTCATAGAAAAATATCAAGAGTCTTGACATGATGCTGGAAAAGTTAGATGACACCCTGAAGGCAGTGATTGGGAAAACACAGGAGTTTGTCGATTCTAAGAAGTCTGAATATTTAGATCAACTTCAATCAGGTCTACCGGGAGGTTGTTACAGGAGTTAAGAAAATAGTTGCTCAGATTCCTCCTTTCAACTTGGATGAAATCAGCAAACTGTGTGAGCCCATTATGGACAGGATCATTTAACTAATACATCATCAATGCAATTTATCGTCTTGTGCAGCAACCTTCAGAGGAAGTACAAGCCTGCATGAGGACAAGCAATGGCAAGCTTGGGATTGACCTTCCATTACATTTCCAGGATTAAATAACCCACCTAGATCAAAAACCTAACTCTGCATGTTACAATCTGTTCACCACACATGTTTGGAAAGAGTGTGAACAACTCAACTGTATTTATAGGTGTGTTTTATAGAACACCTGTCACCTGTAATCGGTTTTTACTGTATCAATTCTGACCTTATAGCATTTTACGGGAACTCAAACAAAAAAATAAAAGCCAGTATTACAAACTTTAAGTGACTGGTTTACTCAATTTGTTTGTACTTGCATGAAGGCCAATAAAACTCTAGGAAAAGTTACATTTTTTTAAAATAATTTAATTTGATGAATAATTTTGGACCGAACTTGTTTGACAGTTCATTGATGGAGTCTCTCCTAAAATGCTTGTCATTAATGAAATATGTTAAAGGACATTGGTAGGAATTCCTTCAACAGGTGAGGTAGTAGTAGAGTTGTTAGGACATTTAGAGCTGGTTATATCAATGTTTGCTCAGCAGTGATGTCAGAACGCATAAATTCAATATACCACACTTTTTACTAACAAGTAATCTAACACTTTACTATTTTCAAACCAACAATCAAATTAAGATTGTTTATTCAACTAGTGTATTTGCATAATTTATTAATTTTGAAGAAGCAAGATTGTTCTTTATTAAAGAACTAATTTCTTCACATGAAACATAAAATACAAGTAAATTTAACTTAATTTTGTTACATAGACTATAGGTCAAAAGCATGGGGGGCCATTTTAAGTGTTTTAAGTGCTCACACACACTGCTACATGCTTACACACTCACAAAACTGAAATTGCACACATACACTATTAAAATATCACACATACAATATTTCTCTCTCAAAAAAAACACTTCTTTAAGGCTAGGATTATCAGTGCAGCATACTGCGCTCATTATTAGGTTATTTCTTCTTCAAAAATAGAAAAAAACAATCTGTTTCTCAGATCTATATGAATTTTTCTTCAAAAATCTGCTCTACTGATAAATATATCTTCTGCCCTCTAGTGGAAGATTTAAGTAGAAGAAGAATAGTGAGAAGCAACGTGTTCTTAATCTATTATTTTATGTTGTCAAAAAATGTGAAAAATATTTTTAAAGAGAGTCTTAAATACATACAACAAGGTTAAAAAATGTTTGGTTACATTGCGATACTTAATAATGTCAGTCTTCGTTTAAAAGATGCAAAAATTATGAAAATCTGATCATTTTATGTTTTTGTAGATTTGAGAATTATGATAAAAATTTCACCAGAGAAAGTAACTTTTCCTTTCATGGATTTGACTATGTGATCCCTGTAGTCACATGCTGGAATCAGAAGACAATAAAATTCAAACATCAACGGAACAAAATTTGCTTAGCTTTACCTGGAAATATGAATCATTTATTTTATGTGAAGAAAATAGGGCTGCATATACTTTGTATGATTCACATAATCTCATTCAGTGTTGCTTTCCTCTATCTGTCCTTGATTCTGAACCAAAATGACTTCCTATAATGAGTATATTGGAGATAAGGCTGTAAAAACTCTGCTAAGTTCTGCAAGGCACCCATTGGCCCTTAGAGATGGAATTAGGCCAACCCCCTTTCCTCATTCATACTAGTCTCACTATGACTTGTAATGTGACACACATTCAGACACACACACACACACTGCAGGGTTTCACTGCCACGACCTGCCAGGGGAACATTAAACAGTCCTGTCCTCTGTTACAGATCAGCTGCTGCCTCATCGGCGCTGTAACTCACTTAATGGAATTAAATCAATCTGTCTGTATTTCAGCCGGAGTCAGCAGCGGTTTCCCTCCTCCCTATAATGCAAATGGCCCTGACGGGAAATCATTCATCTCCGCTGAAGCAGGATATGATGCCTCAAAAGGTGTTAGTTGTGTGTGACTCACACTTGCATGTTGTATGTGAAATACATCTCAATTTAAGACCTATAGATCTAGACTTTGATCCGCGTAATTAAGTTACTCCTGCTTTCATCTGTAAGAAGGGCAATATTTTTTTTTATCTTAATCAGAGTCTCGTATCCCCGGAAATCTTCCTTGAAAAACTTAAACATATGCGCTGTGAAGAAATATCTGCACTCTTACAAATTTCTTCTATCTTTACTTATGTTTTTGGTGAGCGAAATTTTGTAAAGGGGCAGTATGATGTAAAATTGACTTTTTCTTATATCGTGTTACAATGTTATTCCCTTATCAAACACATACCTGGAGTATTGCTTTGATTCTTTCATGCATGAGAAATCCTTTAGTATCCCGGCAGTTATTTGGGGATGCAAAACGCTTGCAAGCGCTGCCTTTTCAACACATCTCCTCCTCGGAGCTGCAGCCAAGTTTCCGCCTCACAGAGCTCCAGGTGGATACATATCAATAAATTTGCTTTTTTTTATGTTCCTCCTTGTTTTTAGCTCAGTTTTTTAGCTTTAGTTTTGTGTTTCTGGGGATTAACTGTAAGGGATGAAATGAAAATATTCGTAACATCTTACATGAACACATGATTAAGTGTTGTCTTCAAAAGAGCAAACCTTCAGAGGTCATGGTCAGTATTTCCTTAAATGAACCAGGCTAACTGTTTGCTTTCACTCTTTTTGTCAAGTCAGGCAGAAATTGTGAGCTGGAAGGACAAACATGAACTCCTGACCTCCACAGCGAGGACATCCAGCCTTTAGTGGGAGAGACCTCTTTGGTATGGTTTAATACTCATCCCTAGGAGAAACAGCATGTTGCAAATCAATACAAAAGCTCTCCTGGATAACCAATCATTTAGGACTCAAGGAAGTTGAATCGTTGACTTAGGCTGGCTGAAATGGACGACACACTTTTTAAATGTTTACAGCCTTTTTCTACGACTTCACAGTTACGCACTACTATGCGTTGGTGCATCACAAAATAGCCATTTAAATGCAATTTTGTGACAGTAATATGTGAAGAAGTTTAAGAAGCATTGCAAATCAGGAGCATAATCTGCTAACTGTGCAGATTTGAGCAGCATAGGTGGAACTACATCAGTCAGTTCCTGAATCAATAGCCCAGTAATTTAAAATTTAGTATCAGATTCTGATCAGTTATGACAAAAATATGAAACAAACCTTTCCACTGGTGAAGAGAAGGCTTCATTTTTTCCATCAGAGATATTGGCTTTAGCCTTAATATGGATGAGATTCCATATAGGGGTAGGAATCTTCTAGGAAAATGAAGTTATACTTAATTAAAAAAAAAGAAAATGACTAGCCAATAGCTAATGCAATCTCTTTCTCATTGGATTATAAGGTGAAAGTGCTTTCTTTGCATAGACTTCATAAGTGAAGAAGCAAGTATTTCAAAAAGCGATATAACTGATCTGTGATATGAGCCGCTGTTCACGCTGCCACAGCAACAGCATCAGAACAACCTGCATCCAGCTAACGTGGCTCATAAATTACCGGATCCTTCCGTCTGCTCTGACTTGGCAAAAATAAAGCGTCTTGAAATGCCACATAGTAGAAACTTGAAATAACCCATGACTGTGAAAAGCTGTGGCTCCCGTCCTGCCAAACAAACTCACTCACGGTAAGTGCTCTCAATTCCAGACTCATTTCCTGGCTCGTGTCCATCTCCTCAAGAGAAAACAAGAGCGTTTGGCGCACCCTGCCCGAGCCTTAACAAAGACACTTTCATATACAAGGACATATTTATTGCTGACACTGCAGTGAAGCAGGATTTCCTCTAGGGCAATTGTAACAAGGACACTCAAAAGCACATTTTCATTTAGTACTAACCTTGTGTAAAGTGATTCTAAGGGGTTCGTTGCTGTAGGCAGTTAGGAAATCACATTAATCAGAGTCGCCATGATTGTGAAAGGACCCAGAACGACTTTCAAAGTCATTTTAGCACCATTAATGTTGTACTTTGACATTGTGTCTTTTGATATTAGATGGGGACATGTAGTGCATTGGCAGCAAAAGTAATTTCACCTTCAATGTGCCGATGTGAACTTTTTCCTAAATTAACTGATGAATTTTTTTTTTTTTTTTTTTTTTTTGTTTTGTTTAGTTTTTTCAGGATGGTGTTTAAAATGCCAAGATGCGTCACCCCGGTTACTTTGTGATCTTTAATTGAAAATAAGCAGCAAAAACAAAAACTTATTTTCACATTTGGTAACATTACACACACCTAATTTCAGTTTAAAGGATTTTATGTGACGCATATATATAAGGTGTAACATGGTTTGTAGTCAAACTCATTAACTAATCCACCTTATCTTTGGAAGTTTCATCAAAGACTTTTTATTTTTGCTAGTCTTATAGATTTTTTGGCATTCATGTCTAGAGGCTGTCCAATCAGAGGACCTCGCCACCTCAGCTGCAGATCTATGCAGATTCGCTGATTAATACTGTCTTTAACCAGCTTGTCATACTCCTTTCATCTTTAAGTAATGGATCAATCTGTGC